CTAGCTAAACTAACAGCGAAATTTGAACAGGCAACAGCAGATAAACTGAAATGCCAGCAAGATGCTGAATCAACTGAACGTACCATTGCCCTTGCCAATCGACTGGTGAGTTTCTTTATCCTGAAAACAGTTCTATAACTGTTGGATGTTGTTGGCTCAACATTAGCTCTAATTGGTGCCGGCCTACTTTGCCAGAATGTGTTCATGTTGCAGCATTAATATTGCTGTTATGCATCCGTTTCACATTGGTACCTGCTCTGAAATGCAGCATCAAGTTGTACTGTCCTGTTCATAAGATAAGCATTGAGCAGAACTCTGTGAATATTGCATGAAGCACGTGACACTTAAAGATGATTAAGTCTTTATTCTTGGTGAAAACCTGGCTGCCCTTTAATCAGTGTCACCCATGGAAAGCAATAAAAAGTCATAATGAATGACCTGAAGATCAACTGACGTGAGATAACCCTCTCAAAGCATTTCTGAAGTGCACAACTTCATATTTTCCAACAGCATATTCCATCTCTCAAGTTTTTATTCAGCTCACTTAACCTGTCTCTGTCCCTCTGCAGACTCTGTGTCATTCTCACCAATTGTTTTTCTACTTATTTTTCTACCACCTGCAAACTTGGCCATAATAACCTGATCAATTTTAACCTATTGTAGCCTCAGCACTGATTTCAGCACTATATGAAACTATGCTGACTGCTTGATCATATTAAGTATTTTTAAATGCTTTCTATTCCATCCTTTGTAACAGACTCTAACATTTTCCCAATAATGGCTGTTAAGCTAACTAGCCTATAGAGACTTGTAAAAACATCTTTGTAATCATCTGGGATCTGTTCAGCAGTCAATGGCTTAATGGACTGAGCAATGCTGCAAATCTCTTCTGCATACGTAGAGTTCACTCTATGCTTTAGACTTGCTTCAGCTAATAAGAGTGGATTTTTCTGAATGTCTGTTATCTGGATCTGTAGATATTTATTCTTCCCTTTGCATTGGGCTCTTGGTTTTATTTGTCCTCTTGGGCATAGCCTTAACTTCAATGACTTCATTTTTAATTCACTCTCTTGAGCTATTTCAAACAGATCTCATGATGTTACACAAAGTATCAGTGTCTGTTTGGGACTTCAGATACTTGGCATTTATCATTCACCTGATGTCTCCTTCTGCAGTCGTCATAAAGCATTTATTATGATTTACATACCAATATTTTATAATCTAAAATGATTCACACAAATCATCGAGTGACATCTCTCTAATAGCCATCTTTGTGGCCTTGCTTTGTTTCTTTCTAACTAAACACTTGCATGCAAATTGATTCAGCATTTTCCAGTCTGAGGACTCTGGAATTCTTCCAAATGATCATTCTTGGTACCTTGTGATTTTTACCATCCCTGTCATTATGTGATACTGGCTATGGGTTGATTAAGGTAGTAATCCGACACTAATTCTCTTTTACTTTTGCTTTGACTTGTTCTGTAATGATTAATGACAGAGGTTAATGTAATGATTGTAACAAGGTCAGCCAGGTAGACCTAATAGAATATGAAATTCCTGATGAGGCTTTTAATCTGGTCCAATCAGGGAGACCTGGCTGACAGATATAAACAGGAGTGTCAGAGATTCTGTTTATTCTGAGAGTTTTTTATGTCTTTATTCATTCATGGGGTGAGAGCTTTGCTTTTAGGCAGCATTTATTGCCCCCTCCCCCCCTTAATTGCTCGGGGCAGTTGAGTGTCAACCACATTTCTATGGGTCTGGAGTCACATGTAGGCCAGACCTGTTAAGGATGGCAGTTTCCTTCCCTGAAGGACATTAGTGAACCAGATGAGTTTTTCCAACAATCGGCAATGGATGCAGGGTTATCATTAGATTCTTAATTCAAGATATTTATTGAATTCAATTTCCACCATCTGCCATGGCAGGATTCAAACCCAGAATGTTATCTTGGTCTCTGGAATAACAGTCCAGCAATAATACCACCAGGCCATTGCCTCCCCGCTCTGAGGAAGCCGGACCAGTCTGAAGCACTATGCACATGTGAACAAAGGGATACTGGCCTGTCTGGAGTTATTTCAGTTAACAAGAAGGTTTCTTATATGAAAGGAGTAAGTCGAAATACATTTGGTCAGATATAATTACTAGAACCTTACGGAGCTAGTACAAATACTTCTGCTCCCTCCAAAAACTACAGTAGAGCTCCTTGTCTCCACCACAGACTGCATGATACCAGTGGAATGGGGAAAGTAATGCGACATGAATGTTAACTACTCAGAACTGTACCTTGCACAAAAATCACTGCTTTCTCCATGCCAGACATGATTGCTGTTGTGTAGTGTCGTCTTCAATATTTACAGCTTTGATCTTCCTGTTGGCCAATCTACAAATATCAGTTCCATTTTTCCAATGTGTTGATTTTGTTTGGCCTCAAATGTTTATCTCAGCATAATGCAAAGCCTTGTCTGTTTTCGAAGATTTATAAGGATGTTTCTGGGACTGGAGGATTTGAATTATAGGGAGAGGCTGGGACTTGTTGCCCTGGAGTATAGGCTGTTGAGGGGTGACCACACAGAGGTTTATAAAATCATGAGGGGCATGGATAGGGTGAATAGCCAACATCTTTTTCCCAGGGTAGTGGAATCCAAAACTAGAGGGCATAGATTAAAGGTGAGAAGGGAAAGATTTAAAAGGGATCTGAGGGGCAACATTTTCACGCAGACGGTGGTGTGTATATGGAATGAGCTGCCAGAGGAAGTGGTAGAGGTGGATATAGTTACACCAATTAAAAGACATTTACATAGGTACATGAATAGGAAAGGTTTAGAGGGATGTAGGCCAAACACCGGCAAATGCGATTACTTTAGTTTGGGAAACCTGGTCGCCATGGACGAGTTGGACTGAAGGGTCTGTCTCCTTGCTGTATGACTGTATAAGGTAGGAGCTCTCTCAGATGCTGATAGCTTCCATCCAAGGAAGTTACTCCTGTCTCCGCAGATATGTCTTGGAAGGATCACTTATACCTAAGAAGATCAACCTCAATTGAGATCATCTTTTGGTTGTCCAAATTCACAGGATTCAGCGACATGTCTTAGTGCTATCTCAGACAGATCAATAGTCTCCCTCTCTCTTTAAGCTCTGATATTGAGCATGTACTATTCAAAATTAACATTAATAGAGGGTTCTGAGTATGTCATCTAAGGCTTCAAACTCTCTCCTCTAGGTTTCCTGCAGTTTTTTACGGGTTAAGGTACAACACACCTAGGAGCAGTCTTTACCCAGCAGGATTTCTACTCTTATTTACTGAGTCTTTTTCTTGCTTTAATTCTGTAGCTATTTCATAGTTTTGCTAATGAACATGGAAAAAGAAAATTCTGTCTCATATCTTCTTTCATTTTAACAATAGCAGGAAACAGAAAATTCACAACCATTCTGACTCCAAACTCACCCAACATTTCAAAGTAACTGTTTCGTAAAATTAGAAACATTCTGAATCTTGAAAATATTTAAAATTCACCCAATTCTCAACTTCACACTTCCAGGTCTGTGTTTCATTTCATGTGTTTTAATGGCTGCTCGTTCCAAAAGGAAAGAAATTTATAGTAGCGGTCCTGTGACCATGGCAAGCCCGTATGTAACAATGTACAAATGCATTTCTCCAAACATCCATATCTCTCATTAATCCTCTGTGCATCTCTTGTCACAGAGGCTTTGATTTCTCCATGATGAGGATCTCTGAGGAATGGATTAGTGACAGAACCTTGTTACATCACATACATAGCTTTGTGATTGTTCTGCGTGAAATTGATTTCAACTTCATGCAGGTTTCAAGCAGCGGTATATCTTCCCATTTTTAATCAGTATTCTCACACCAGCATGCTACTGTGTTATTCTCGAGAAAGAACTTGGGCCTAGAAAGGCTTTCAGAACATGTACTGAGTAGTATCTTTTAACAATTGCAGCCCGGTCTGCCTTTACATTCATGTCCTTTGTAACTTCTGTCTCATGCGTAGCCCTTTTTTATATCTCAGTGAAAACTGCTTTGGGAATTTGCTGCCACAACAGTGTTTTCAGACTCATCTTAGTAATTTTACTCTGACCATCAGCGGTTGTGTTTTGACATCTGTGACCTCATCGCCTCCCTGCCAAGCAAACCACATTCCCAGAAACTGTCTTTTCTCCATCTCGGGCACAAACTTCCTGCCAGAAGCAATCTTTTTTTCACTTTCTAGCCTCCCAATTGTTATCTCCATCGATTGTTAAAAGGTGACCTTATTCAGGAGGTTTTATCTATGATATCTGACACTCTTGTACAATGTATAACAATTTAAAATAATTGACAGTCATAACTAGAAGTAACAGAGTCAGATAATTGACAGTGAATTTGAATACTTGCTACTTCTGTTCAAATTGGGCTGCGTTTCACACAGTTGCTTTTAATGCCTTCTGCACTTGTCACCTTGTGGACTGACTTTCATAGAGGGCATGTCTTTATCGTTCCTTGCCATTCTCAGTAATTTATCTTGCCACCTTATCAAGTTAGGTTCAATAGGTCTTTGTTTCTTGACCAGCACTCAAAATTGTACACTGTAGAGCTGCAACAAGATACTTAGAATTAGACTTTTTTTTATTCTCTTGATGGTTGTTGTGCAGATGTGCGTTAAGAATAATATATTCTAGACCCACAGCCATGTATTCCTGGCTGTAAGCAAATAATGCTTACGATTCCTTTCTATTAGGCACTGACAGAAGCTAATTGTGTGGTGAGTGTGTTGTGTAGGGACTGGCCACTGAAAGCCAGCCCTCTGCCTTTGTCTCTTCACCTTTACCCACGAACTCTACTCCATAATCAGCCACAAAAAGACTACTTGCCCATGCAGCACTACATGGTTGTCCATCTTGGGCTTCATGTGACCCTTCCCAGTTCCCTGTGGTTGCCAGCCTCTGATTGTTCATCACCTTCAGGAAAGGGTGGGATTTCAATGATGAGGATCATGATAGGTGATGTGCGACAGGCTTCTCAGCCTATGTGCCTGATTGGTGCTTCATCCAGTGGGCTTTCTTGCTCGTGGAAGTGGAAGGTTAGTTAACATTGCAGGTAGATGTCCACTGGCACACTTGGTTGAGTGAGAATTAAATCCAACCCACTGATAATGTTTTATTCCAAACATTCGTCCTGACCTGCTGAGTATTTCTGCCTTTTATTGCTGGCATTCCAGTGATCCTTTGCGTGTCCAAACCAACTGTGAGAACATAAGGGGTGTGTTAAGATCCAGGCTGATGTTTTATTGGACACATCAGATGTCAGATTAAAATCTTGCTTGATAGATCAGATTTTTTTTTTGGTTTTAAGAAGTGGCCTTTCACTGAAGCACAAACATGTAATGCAATGCTGCAAAATTAGTTTTAACAACAAAATAGAAGTTTATTAAACAAAAAATGAAGATAAAATAGAATAAACCAAACTACTTACATACAATTTTAAAGATTTAGAAATGCCTGGTAAAATATAATCCCATTAATTCCAACAGCACTCTTTTGCAGTTCTTGCATGAGAGAGAATTCCATTTGCTTTTACGTCTTGAGAATCTGATGGCATCTTTCTGGAGCCTTAATAAAACAGAGTGTAAACTTTCTCAGCTTCTGAAGACTCCTTTAGGATTGTCATCAAACACTTATGGTCTGGAATTTTCAAACTAAACTGCTTATACTGAGCTAACATATTTCTAAACCAGTCTAACTCGCCCCCTTTAATCAGGAACTGTGTGGCACATCCAGCTTCAGCCAAAACTCCTGCAAAACTGACAAGCTGATGCCCAAAAGCATTTTTTTTTATAAATTGTGAGTGTTCTCCCTAACCAAAAGAAAAAAAAAAATCCATGTTTGACCTTTTAAACTAAAAACACAAGCACACTGTTTACTTTGTTCATTTGTAAACTCTCCCACTGAAAACAAAACCCTATTAGACACCAGGAACACTTCTGGAGATATCAAACAAATCATGATGTCTCCAGAAATACTAATAAGTTAATCATTAAACTCTTCAGACATACAAACCAAAGCCCACTTACCACTAGCTCCAGTATGCCTTGTTAATATGCCTTGAAAATATCCAGTTACACTTGCCCTTTACAGACATCACTTGTTTCAAGTATTTTTGGAGCAGATGAGCAGCATAAAAATGACAGATTTGCGTTATTCAGTGATTTCTAATTGATTTTTCTCTGCAGTTAACAATGAATCTTGTCCAGGTAGAGGGAGTCACAAATTGCATCTTCTGCATTCACACATTTAACTGTACTCAAATAGACTTTTACAAACATTCAATGGAAAATCCAGCCATAATGGTTTAATTTTCTTTGTTCACCAAACCCCATCACTTTGGTTTAAAAATCCAAATTTTCATAGTTTTTTTTCATAGTCATACTCCTCTCCATGACCTCTTCCAACTCTACACACTTGCTTGCATTAACTGGTTGCTTTGATTTATTGTCTGCTATACTTTTTCTCTGCTGTACCATCTGTAATTCCTTAATTGTGGCAAATCACTTCCCGTCCTCAAAATCCTCCTTAAAACCTACCTCTGAGCAACAACTTGGTCCCATCCTTAAAGACCATGCCTGCTCCTGATCAGGTCTGACTCCAAATGGTGAAGATTCTTGCAATACATTAACAGTAATATGTCATTGATTTAAGTCATTTAATTTGTACCCAATGAGATATGTCAAAAGACTAATACAGTGGTATATCATAGAAACTTGGAAGGAAAATTCTATGAAGGAAGTCACACTGTGCTAGGTGCCAGATTACAAGAAATCATTTGGTCACTGACAAGCTGAGATGAATTTGTGCAATCTGCACTGAGTCACATAGAGCAGAATGTTCTTTTCCTTTATAACTTCTAACTGGGTTAAAATGTCCTGAGAGAGTTACAAGTACGCAAGATCAGAAAGAAAGAGGCAACCTATGATGCTGCTTGGCCTGCTGTGTTCATCCAGCTCTGCACCTTGTTGTCTCGGATTCTCCAGCATCTGCAGTTCCTACTATCTCTGATTCAACCGATCTGTTCTGTCAGCCCCTTCAGTTCAAATTACAATAGGCTTGGATAGCAAATTTACAAATTGACAAATTTAAGGCCTTCTGAATGCAGCATCTGATTCTCGTTGGAGCATTTGTCCCAAATGAATAATGGAGATCACAAACATTTTTGCTGTCAGTTATGAATCTGCAGGAAAATGCTGTTGCTTCTCATTTCTAGAAGGTGGAAGTTGAAGACTGATTGAAGCCCTTCCTCAGAGCAGCTGCAGACACTTTGAGATTGCTGTTGAACAAGAGATGCCATTGCATAAGCTTCTGAATTACATTGACCTAATCAAGGCCTGACTGGAATTCTCGAGGGCTCTTTTGATAATGGCAAAATTCATATTGATAAACAGTTAACTTAATAAACAATGAATATTATTATCCTTTTAGATGCACTGCAAAATTGCTTGGATGATTTCTTTAAAGTTCAACACATATGCAATTTTGGGCAACAAATCTCAAAGACAAACATAATTTTTAATCATGAAAATCAGAGTCGCTAAAACACTGCATAATAGTAACACGAAGAAAAAAACTCAGTGTGTAGTTTAAGTTCAGCTTCCATTGTCGAAATTTGTTGGTAAAATCATTGATTTGTTAATACATTATGGTTGATTAATTTTATATTCTTGTCATATCTATTACCATATTATCTCGCATATTTTAAAGAAGTTAAATAATATTTGAATCTCATTCCTTTTTGACTCTGTAATTTAAATCGGAGTTATTTTGATCTCCTGGATGAGTTTTCGTGACTGAATGTGGAATCATAGATGGTTACAGTACAGGAAGAGACTATTCAGCCCATTGTGTTTGTGCCAAATGACATGTTGCCATCCAGCCTAATCCTACTTTCCAGTTCCAGGTACACAGCCTTGAAGCTTGTGGTTTTTCAAATACAAATCAAAGTAGTTAAGGACATCTACCTCTATCCACCCTTTCAGGTGAAGAGTTTCAGATGCCCATCAACCAAAACAATTCCCCCTCAAATCCTCTCGAGGCCTGTTACCTGTCATTTAGATCTATGCCTCCAGGTTATGGACCTTTCAACAATAGGGATTAAAACCTTCCCAGCCACTCCTCTTGATTTTATACATTTCAATTAGTTTCCCCGTATGCCTTCTCTGTTACAATGGGAAGCAGAGGGATATGGGCCAAACACAGGTAAATGGGACTAGATTAATTTAGGATATCTGGTCGGCGTGGATGGGTTGGGCCGAAAGGTCCATTTCTGTGCTATACATTCACTGTGAATTATTTCAAAACCAAAATATTCTTCCTAGGTTGGTGGCCTCGCCTCAGAAAATGTACGTTGGGCTGAAGCTGTGCACAACTTCAAACAACAGGAGAGCATGCTGTGTGGAGATGTGCTCCTAATCACTGCCTTTGTTTCATATCTGGGCTATTTCACAAAGACGTACAGGCAGGATCTAATGGATGGGATGTGGAAGCCTTATCTTGGACAACTCAAAGTAAGGCATGCATCATGCATGGGTTTTTGCAATTGTATTTACAAACAAATTATCTGATTTGGTAACCTAATAAACTTATCCCCACAGACAATAGTTTGTTATATTCATACATTTTAGAGACAAATGCTATTGTTTCATATTTTTTGATGACTAATGAAGTTTTGTTTTGATCATTGTTTAGATATACTCATTATTTGAACAGTTTATAATATTTAAGTGATTTTTGAGAAAACATTTGGGATATTCAGTGTCACATGATTCTCCAGACCTATCTTGCTAGATTAACAGGTGTAAAGCTCAAGACATAACTTACTGCAGTTTCATTGGCATATAGGTATTCCTCCAAGATATCTCATTATTTTGTTCATTTCTGACATGCTACTGGGTTTCAATCATAAAACTAGTTCACTATTTTAACAGCATCATCCAATGTGTGACTGTTTATTTATAATGAGATTTTCAATTCTGCTGAAAAACTTTCATTCTCCTTTTGATATTAACAGCTTCCTTACTAACCTTGTTTAGTTGGTATTCTGGGAGATTTTTGTCTGAGAACTTGTCTCCTGTGTTGACAAAAATGCATGTTCTGTTATACTCATGGTAGAGTCATCGACTTGTGAAAATCTGGATTAAACACTGAATATTAGCTCATAGAAACCATTGCCTATAATTTAAATTAAAATAGTCAATGTAAAATACAACTAGAGATGTATGTTAGGTTACTGTTCCCAATGAGTTATTCACAATTCCTATTGGTCTTTTCTTTTGATATTTGCTTAGTTCAGACCATGAGAAAATAGCTTTGGTACAATGATATTTCTGTTGTTTTGGCTTTGCTAACCTGATGATGAAATATGGGATTTTCAAAAACTGGATCCATGTCTTTATTAACAGGGAGAAGTGCCATTTTGAGGAATTTATACATGTGAAAATGACGCAGACAATATGACTTGAATAACCAATGGAGTATTTCTCTACAGGGCATGCTTTGGCTGATATCCCTCATTACTGATCCAAGATGTAATAACATCATTCCATTTCTTTACCCCTGGGCGTAATGCTTGCATGAGCCTTCCTTTAGGCCTACTGTGGGAGGTGATGGCCTAGTGGTGTTATCACCGGACTGTTAATCCAGAGACCCCGATAACGTTCTGGGGACCCCGGTTCAAACCTTGCCGTGGCAGATGGTGGAATTTGAATTCAGTAAAATATCTGGAATTAAGAATCTAATGATGATCATGAATCCATTGTCGATTGTCAGGAAAAACTAATGTCCTTTTGGGAAGGAAACTGCCATCCTTACCTGGCCTGGCCTACATGTGATTCCGGACCTACAGCAATGTGGTTGACTCTTAACTGCCTTCTAGGCAATTAGGGATGGGCAATAAATGCTGCCTAGCCAGCGATGCCCTCATCCCGTGAATGAATAAAGGAGAAAAAAAAGACAACATTGTCCACCCATTTTGCTCGTTGCGTATGCGCACCACCTCCTGATTACCTGTTTGTGCTTGTGAATTCTGTAGGATCTTGGGCACTTTTATTGGTTAAAATTATGTGTATTTGAAACTAGGATGAGCCGTTTACACGTTTAATGCTTGCAGTCAGTAGAGTTTGTAAGCTTTCACACAGTGAGGTTGGATTGCATTCAAATCCAGTTCTCAGACTGCATCATTACAGAATTTAAAGCAGCGGGTTTAATTTTTTCCCCATATATTTTTGTAGTAAAGTGGGCAATTAACAGAGTGCATTATTAGCATCATGTGATATTGGTATCAACCCACTATCCACAGATTTACATATCCAGTCATGTTCAACTACAACAACGATTCCTGGTAATTGTGATTAAGAGCCTCAATTGTGAGATAAAGCAACTTACTATTCAAAGGATAGCTGAAATTCCTGTCTTATAAATCTTTTACCACAGCATATCATTCGGCCGAATGAAAATGAAGATAGAAGTGTTCAATAAACTGTGTGCTGCCTTTTTAATAATTGAAAACTCTCATTAATTCTGCTCGGGAACTGTCACCCATTTGTTTCTCCTGAAATACTTCATCTTTATTAGTTTCCATTTATTCCAATGTTTCTACCTTAAAAGGGTGTTTGTGCTTTATTAGTCTTCTCAGCAGAAGAGTTACATCAGCAAAAAAACAAAGCCACTTGAGCTAATGGTTAGCAAAGAGATAACATAACCAGCTTTTGTTTGATGTTGCAATGGAAAGGCTTGCGCATTTGCCAAGGTTACTGTAAACTTCATTCCTGATCTTCCTCCTTCATTCATAATCAAATCAGAATCTCAGTATTGAATCCATTGACCATTAGGTTCTTCTGTTTAATTGCACCAATTTCTTTCTAATTTTGTTTTCTGATGAAGTGGGCTGAGTTGCATGCAGCAAACCTTTTGCGTAGAATTTTCTTTTCAATAAGAGACAATAACGTAGATTCAGAAGGTGGTTTTAGGTAACAATGCTGTATTCAATTGTTTCTTGAGTTATTTCAGCATTTTTGCTTCCAGCAGTTTATCTCAAAGGTCATTTCAATGGCTGTTCACTCCTGCAAAGAAGGACTTCCTGATATTTGTATTTGATTCCACTTTTACTAATTTGAAGCTGTCTTCATGTACATGTTGTTGAAATATACGAAAATGATAGAAGAAGGAAGATTAGTTTGCACCTCAAGCCACCTCCCATACTCATGATTCCTGATTGACCTGAAGACAGCCTTGTACCCACTTACTCACTAGCAACACTGTTTTGCCCCTAATGCCCCACTACTTTGTAGCTGAATAGGGAGTTATCCCTCAATCCAACATGATAGAAAGCAGTTGTGAGGAAGGGTCACCAGAACCGAAATGTTAACTCTGTTTCTTCCTTCACAGATGCCGCCAGACCTGCTGGACTTTTCCAGCAATTTTGTTTTGGTTCCTGATTTACAGCATCTGTAGTTCTTTCAGTTTTTCTTGTGATAGAAAGCAGGTTTTAGCACATTGATGGTTGTGGTAGCTTCCTGTAGTATTGGTAGCTGCTTTTCCTGCATTAGAAGCATTACTAAACTTCAGAAAGTACTTGAGCTGTAACTTACCTTGAAATGTTCAGTGATTTTGAAAGGCACTTTCCAAATACAAGTCCATCTTTTCAGCTGTTTATTTTCCCTTGAAGATAAGAAATTAGTGGCTTTCCTTCCTAACAAAATCAAGCTTATAAAACATGGTATTGTCTTCCTTCAGAGATGCAGGCCAGAAAGAATATAATCTATGCAGCTGAAATGACCAAATAATGTTGAATACCTGTGGCATATTTTGTTTATACTGTGCCGACAAAGAAGGAACGTCCAAATCATAACTACAGAATTGAAGTGTTAAGTTATTAAATGATTTTCCAAAAAAAGTAATACTGAATCTTAAACCCCAAATCCTTCTGTCAGGTGGGAAACACAAATCTCTCAAATCTGCTTGTTTTCTATTGTAATGAAGGTAGGAACGTTTGACAGGGGTTGGGGAGCTGTTGGGGATACAGTGGGAAGCCAGCTGAGGATGAGGGCTACTGAAGTCACCAAGTAAGTGCTTTCTCAACACACTATGGTTCTGGAGGAACAAAGCATCACACCTAGCTAACTTAGTTACACAAGCCCCTTGCCCTAATATCAGCCTCTTACTGTAATCAGTCTCTCCTTTCGCCCATTGTCAATCCAATCTGCTACAACCACATTGACCCAGCCTTCCTGATCCCTCGTTCACCCTCTCCATTCTTTCTGATCCCTCTCGCATCTTCACACCCTAGCAGCTGCCTCTGATCCACCTCAAATGCCTCCAATTTGCTCCATCTCTTCCCCTGACCCTCCTTACCACTCCCTATAATTTTCTCAATATCCCCTACAAACCCTTCTAATTTTCTCATGGCTCTGCTGACCTTCCCCGGTGACACTTCTGACCTTGTCTCAAACTTTCTGGTGTCTCCCTTGACCCTTAGAATATCCATTCTTTTATCTCCCACCCCACTAGCTCCAGTTGCAGCAGCCATAATGAAAAATTCTTGTAATCAACTGCCATTCTGTTAACCTGCTCAGTATCTTGTTGCAATGCTCTATAGTGCTGTAAAATGAACGATCATTATTACCAGAGTGAAGTGGTAACTTTGTTAAAGCTGCAATGTCTGTATAACCATTATGTTATTTGTAAAGAACTAGGAATTAACTGTTATGTGAATATAAATCCTGTGTTGTCATATTTACTCTTATACTGTGATTGTATACTGATTAACATAATAGTAGTCCACTCACTCCATGGACAGCAACAAACAATACACTGAAGGAAGCTCCAGTATTTTGAGTCTAACCTGTGATCATTTTTGACTTGAACCAGGCGATCTAAGAACAAGTATCCACTTCAGTTGTGCAGAAAGAAAGTGTTTAAGTAGATGTGTTTTTTGGATCGAGGTAGGGGAATGATGAGATGGCCTCATCATTCTCATTAAAGCAGGGTGAGTTGTAGGTGGCATGAGCACTAACAGTTAGAACAGAATGGATTCAAGAGAGAGTGGACTGAACCCACTACATTCACGTTCCTTGAATTGAGTTAACTGCATGATTTTTCTGTGTTTGCATTGCTGTTTGAATCGCTAATTTGCAGCTGTGAGCTTAATAATATACTGTGAGAAGCCCTGTACCTTCACAATCTGAAGAGGACCATCAGCAATGAAGTGCTTTTGGTTGTGTTTGTAGCTGTTGCCATTATCGTGTTCTGCTGGAGTCTATTAATTTGACCACATTCTGTGGTGTGCTAATTGTTAGTTGTTGAATAGCCATAGTAACAATAACAACATGTAACAAATTGGACCTCTCCCCCTCTCTTTGATAAATGTCTTCCTTCTGAATAATGGAGTGTGACTGTGTTACCAAACCAGCTAACAAACGTTATTTTAAAGTTCCCGTAGAGTTCTTTCAAGCTGGGTAATGTAGTCTCTGATTCAAAAGCCTTTGTCACAAGGCATTTTACCCTACAG